CTAATGAATAAATGACTGTCTGGGTTTCCTTCCAGTTACAACATAGCATGATTCCATAAAATTGTGATCTAGTGCATTGAGTTGATGCCTAGGCATGTGGCAGATAACGCTGACTCAGCTTTCTTTTTTCTCCTGCCCACTATTGAGACACCGTCATGAACATTTCCACCAGAATGTAAGTAACATATACAAAAGGAGATGGTTTGAGATTTGCCAAATTTTCCTCTTCTCTAGCAGTACCAAAAATGGTTTGGAAAAAGAAGAAAGTCTTCATTTGAAGTGTTGGTGATCTGCTGGTTTTATTTACACAGGGTGTGCCTGTCAACCACTCCCATCCATAATTGAGGCATGGCCACCCACAGCACCTGTCAAGGCCTCTATACTCAGTTCCTCTTGGTGAGATAAGGTGAAGAGAGGCCACTAGCTAACAATGTGTGAAAGCTTCAAGTGACATGACAGTCACTCCAGATCTGGAAGGGGAAATGACAAAAGAAGACATTCTGGTTTTTTGTTTGTTTGCATGTGCATAAGTTAGGGTTCTTGGTTGTAAATAAGACACTCACTGTGGCCAACTGAAGCAGAAGAATTTAAGGATTTCAGCTACCACCAAATAAAAAGGATACCATCACTGGTTCTACCAGTACTGCTAGGTACTGCCAGTCTCTGGAAACCCACCCACCAAGATGAAGTTTAATGTGTTTCTGTCTTTGCATCACTTGATCAAGATGCAAAGTTCCCAACAGGAGAATCTCATTGGCTAGATCACACACTGCCCTAGCTGTGACGGGCTGGGAGACCAAGTATCTGGCCCCCTTATGCTCCACGGTGGGAAAGAAGGTCCTAAGACTCTCACAGTGATGGAATGCCCCAATATAAAGAATATTTACATACTGGTCAGCCACAGAAAAATGAGAAATGTCCACTGCATCACAGTTTAATAGTGTAGCATTATTTATAGAGATGGGTAAAACTCAGTCTATATATATAGTCATACATCCAGTGCCCTAAGTGGGGCAGATTTATGATTAATGGGCATAGGCTTGTTAGGAATTCTTGCTCTAAAGGCTGAAAATTGGCTGGGCATGGTGGCTTACACCTGTAATCCCTGCACTTTGGGGGGCTGAAGCAGGCAGATAACTTGAAGACAGGAGTTTGAGACGAGCCTGGCCAACATGGTGAAACCTCATCTTTACTAAAAATACAAAAATTAGCCAGGCGTGGTGGTGCACACCTGTAACTCCAGCGACTCAGGAGGCTGAGGCAGGAGAATTGCTTGAACCTGGGAGGCGAAGGTTGCAGTGAGCCAAGATCATGCTCCTACACTCTAGCCTGGGCGACAGAGTAAGACTCTGTCTCAAAAATAAAAATTAAAAAATAAAGGCTGAAAATTTTACCAGCCAAAATTAAATTTGAACCAGTTAGCAGTTTCCTGGTACTTTGCCCATAACAATTTTAAAAGTTATGGTTGAGCACAGCATGCTAGTGGCATATCACAAAACTTCTGCTGCCAGCATAGACGAACCCAGGTGTACTTTCTCCTTAATCGAGTTTCCATTTTCCCCTTCTAACCCCTTAAAAGAACAAGATGACTCCATGCTTTGATTCTTCCTAGTCTAGTAGTGACTCTGGAACCCCAGGAACACAGCTTATAGACTTTAGCCCCAGCTTCCCACAGACGGGTTTGGAGGCCGAGTATAGGAAGGGCCAGGGTCCATGCTGGGAAATTGCTTGCTTCATGATGATGATCCTCAAGGCAATAAACAGGACTGAGCCCTGCAAAGGAGCTGGCCTGACTGCAGAGGGCAAAAGCAGAGGTATGAGTAGGTAAAGTGGAGTCACAGCACGAGGCTTCTTCATCCAAGCAAGGACATCAAATGTTGCAGCACCTTCACTTTCAGGAATCGAATTCCACAGTGTTGTGACACAGGAGAAACCAAAGTGTTTTCTCCTACTCTCACACAGCCAGCACAATTCTAACACTAGATGTGTGGGGGATGTTTCCCCACAAACCAAGCAATTCTCCAACAGACACAGGCTGGGTGTCCTTCAATTCAATTCTGGCACTGTCTACCTGGAAACAGTCTTTGATCCCACAAGACTGCCGCCCATTTCAGATGCCAATCCCACATAGTAGGTTGTTTCCTGTACCTCTGATTGCCCAGCTATAAACTGGAATTCCCCCCACCCCCTCCTTGTTTGGACTAATTTGCTAGAGTGGATCACAGAACTCAGTGAAACATTTTACTTCTGTTTGCCCATTGATGACGAAGAATATTACAAAGCATACGGATGACGGTGAGATGGAAGAGATGCACAGGGCAAGAAATGTGGGAAGGGCCGTGGTGCTTCCATATCCTCTCTGGGCACGCCACCCTCTAGGAACATGATGTTCCGCTCTCCAGAACTCAACAAACCCTGTCCTTTGGGCTTTTATACAGGCTTCATTGCATATGTCTGATTGATTACATCATTGGTCATTGGTGATCAACTTAACCTTCAGCCCTTCTCCTCTCCCCGGAGTTTGGGGGAGATGTGGGACTAAAAGTCCCAACTCTCTAATCCTGCCTTGATCTTTTTGTTGATCAGCCCCCATCCTGAAGCCATCTATGGGCTCCAAGTCACCAATCATCTCAATAGCATGCAAAAGGTATTTTCATCACTCTGGAGATTCCAAGGAATTTAAGAGCTTTAGGTCAGGAAACAGGGACTATAACCAAATATCTATTTCACAATATCACACACAGATGCACCTGCACAAGTACATACTGATCTATGTACAGGGATATTCACTGAAGTATTGTTGGCAACCACAAAAAAAAAAAACTGGAATATATCATCCACATATGATTATATCAGTTTAATATATTGCTGTATAATCATACTATGAGACAGAATGCAATTATAAGAAAGAGGTCATATATAAGTGATATGATAATGTTGATACATTAAGTTAGAAGAGCACGTGACAGAATAGTTTGCATACTACTATTCCATTTTTTTAGACAGGAATATACAAATAGTCTTGTATATGTATAGAAAGCACTGGAAGGGCAACCTAGGAACTGTGGGGACTTTCTGGGGAGGGTAGCAAGGAGAGACCTTTACTTTTCATTCCCTACCCTATTTCCGTTTTACTATTTACTGTGTGTATGCAGTCTATTTATAATTAAAACAAACTGAGATGTCAGAAAAGTGAAGCACAGCAAGAAAAAGGAGTCAAGGGTCAAGAAATAATTTTTCCTCAAAAGAGGCTTCTCTCAGTTAAGAACACTTCTTAGCTGTACTCAGAGAATGTGAAGACCCACAGGGAAAACAGTCCGACTGTATCTTTCCTTAATGTCGCTCAGAGCCAGGCCTCTACTCACCTGGTGAGGGCCTGGGTCTGTCTCCTGCCCTGGCATTTGGATGTGGTCTGAGAGGAGTGAGTCAGGTAAAGGAACCTTCTGGACCTCAGACGACAGGCAGTTTTAGCAGGTGTCACTGAGGTAGAAATTCCCCCCCATCCAACCCCCTACAAAAGAGCCAGCAGTTATTAAAAGCATGGGACTGGAGGGGGGCAGACTGGGTTTATGGCCCTGTTACAGTGGTGGTGATGCTAACAGTTAAAAGGCCATGGAAGCTTGTTTCAAACTAATTGGCCCTGTAGAATAGAAAAAAAAAAAAAAAAATGATCCTACTAATGACGCTAGGTAATTCTGTCTTCTGGGTTACAGCAAGCAGCCCCCAGAATGGCCTTTATTGAAGCCTTAGTGACAAGAAGCCTGCAGGGCAGTAAGGGGGGCCTGCTTGGAGAAAGTCCCCAAAAGAGAGGATCTCTCCTTAACACTCCAATGACATGGGAAAATTTTACTCACAAAATTCCCTGGAAACCCAGCCACCCCCGGCTGCAAGAGAAGGCCTAGAGATGCATCGACCAGAGCCGGCTTCAGGCCACAGCTCTTCTTCCCCATGCTGAGGGTGCTGCTGCTCGCCTTCACCTTGACCCTGTATCCCCACCTCCCACTGCCCCAGATCTTCCAGGCCGAATGTCCTGGAAGACATTCCACTCTTCTGAGCTCTAAGAGCTAAATCCACTGTGTTCAGCATATAGAAAAGTGAAGAACTGAACCCCTTCCACCCCTGCCTCCCTAGGCAGTCTGTAGAGCGCTGCTCTACAGATTGAGCCCTGATACCAGTGTCCGAGAGGCGCGTAAATGCTTCCATTTTGATCCTTCCACCGCAAAAAATGCCGGGTTTAGTCTGGGAGACACTCAGACCCCTCGGGACAAGGGTGGCTAGAGGGAGGTCCAAGCTGCTTTGGGTGGGTGGGGAGTCAAGGCAGGCCAAAGCTTCAGATTTAGGCAGTAACCACCAAATCCGACCTGGGCTGCAGGTCCAAGGCCTCTTCCTCTTTCCTGCATGCTCCGCTCTGACGCTGGCCCATCTTCCGATGTAACCCCTACAACAACTGCCATGGCAAAAAGGCCTGTCCCAACTCCATCCTCATGGCCCGGATCCCCAACCCTCGGGAGATCACGCTTCGTGTCTCTTTTCTATTTTACAAAGCGGCGCTCCTTGCAGCCCTCGCGAAAGGTTCTGCCGTGGGGTCTCCCAGCGCAGGCCCTTCCCCAGTTCCCTAAAGAGGAGGCTCGTTTGGTGGACCAACCCCCAGCAACGCGGGCCCAGTCCTGGCCTTTCTGCTTGTCTTCTGAGGACCCTGCCTGCCGCCTTGGGTCCAGCCGTCGTCCAGGGGGCGGCGGTGCAGGAGAGACCTCGCGGCCTGGCCTGAGGCGCGGCCGCCCCCATCCCTTCCCCCGACCTGGGGTGGGTCCCCGGCCCACAAGCTCAGGAGGAGCCGCACCCCTGTCCCCTACGCGCTCACAAACGCCGCGGTCGCCCGAACCTTCGGCCCCGCCGCGTTCGGCTGCAGGACCGAGACACTACGGGGCCCCGGCTCTGCGCGCTGCGCTCCGGCCGCTCGGGGAGGGAGGACGCGCGGCCGCGCCTGCCTCGGTGGCCGCGCGGGGTAGGTAGCTGCGGGGACCGGAAGGATGGCGAGGAAGTCGGAGAGGGTTTCCTGAGATGAGAGATTACTTCCGTCCGGGCTGTGGCCTCTCTCTGGAGCCGGCTCGCAGGGGCTCGAGGAGCGGGGTGCGCGGGGCTCGGGGCCGCGCCTTGCCACCTGCAGTGCCCGGGCGGGCCGCGGGGGTCTTGGCGGGACGCGCTCGGCCCTGTCGCAGGGGCTAACGCGGGGGGATCCTTGCAGGTGGGAGCATTTCAGAGCGCCAAGCCATGGTGGCCAAACAGCGGATCCGGATGGCTAACGAGAAGCACAGCAAAAACATCACCCAGAGGGGGAACGTAGCCAAAACTCTGGTAAGGCGAGGTCGAACCCGGCCAGGCCCAGCCGGGCAACCGGGCAGCCGGGCGGGGTGGGGCGGGGGTGGGGGCGGGGCCGGGCTGGGCGGTAGCGGCGAAGGGTCCGGCCTCCCGGCTCCCGGCCCGCCCCTTCTGCGGGGTCCTGCAGAGTGGGGGCTGAGAGCTGGGCTCTGGGCGGCGCGGTCCACTTGTCGTCCTCATGGGCGGAGAGGGCCCTGGTTGGTCGTGGCCCCTCTGGGAGTGGCCGCCTGGGCTACCAGGGAGACATAGAGGAGCCCCCACTTCCCCCGGGAGACAGCTGGGCCTTGTCCCAGGGAAAGATGGAGCGCCTCATCCTTAGGGGCCAGTTAAGTCAACTAAATGACACAAAGCCTGGAGCCTAGTATGTTCTAGAACGTTTGTTGAATGACTGACTGACTGAATCAATGGCTAAATGGAGGTCACTTGTCATCTCCTCCTACCAGACTCCACCGGTCTTCCCTCCCCAACAGACTTGCACCAGGATCAGGTTTTCTTTCCAGCCCCTTTGTGAGGGTTTCCCTGGAGATGTTGAAAGGTCTCAAAGTAGGGAGTGATATTTGGGCCCACATTCCCTCCAGCCTCCTTTTTCTCTTTTACCTCTCTCTTCCAGTGAGACCTCCCTGAGTCCCTAAGCTAAAGTCTAAGGGCAGCATTGCTATTCTTCCCACTCTGTGAATTCAGACTCATTCTGATGGTGTAAGTTTAGAGACCAGTTTATGGCCAGGCTTTGGAGTCCCTAGAACTGTAAATTGAAACTTTGTAACTGGATTTTTAAGTAAAGCCTGCACCTTACACTCAGGGGTTTCTTTTAGCAAAGGAGATTATCTTCAACAGAAAATGCTAGGCCTGTGACTGGACATTCAGAGACATGAGTCGCATGGGTAGTTTGGCAAAGTTGGCCTCCAAGTGTATGAGCAAAGGCGCCTGCGATCTGTTATCCCATACAGTTAAGTGGAAATCTAGCTGAAGCTTGAAGTTTGGCTGGGAAAGCTTACAGATTTGATGAAGCAATTCCTTTTAGCCAAAAAATTATACCGGTTTGATTAAGTAAAAAGCTAGATCTGTAATCGTCACACCAAAATTCTTGCAAAACCAAGCAGTATTATGGCGGAGAAACTCTAGGATCAAACTCAACTCTACTCAGAGCTTTATACACAGCTCTAGGTTTAGTAATCCTTAAAATTCTCTCATTTAGTTGTGATTCGGGCAGCAAAATGCCAGATGCCATCAAAGTGGAACAATTTTGTCACATCGATTTATTTTCCCTAGATATTTTTACTCAGGGAAAAAAAAAAAAAAAAACAAGCTGCCCAAATTGACATTGAGAAACAACTTATAATTGATGTTAGGGCATGCAGGGCTTTATACCCGTAAGAGATCAATTCTTCCTTCTCAAGGAAGAATTTCACTGCTAACTGACAGTGAAAAATAGCTAGTCATGTGGCTTTTTCTCATTAACTAAAAAACCAGAGTTCAGATGTCAGATCTCAGTGGACAACTTATCTGATGACAAAAGTAAGAAGAAAACAGGAACTAATTTGCAAGGCTGTTTTATCCATTGGGCTCTGTAGACTCAGTGTCTGCCACCTCATGTTCTTCAAGAAGACTAGAAAATATTTGGGACCCAAAACAAAAATTATTGGCTCCAAAATAAGAGAAGAAAATGGAAAATTTGGGAAAACACTGTTTAAATATCTAGAAAAGGTACCAGTCATCTACCATTCAACTCAATGTTCAGAGCTACATTTAAATTATATTTAACATACAGTATGAATGCATTTTAACATGTTCTGATATGTCATAGGATGACACCCAAAAACTCTCATAGTGCCTTGCACCATGAGAGTTTTTGAATGGCCCGGCTAAATTTGTAATAATATGTTTCCAGACCAAACCACAATAAATGTATGCTTTCCACTGGTTTGGGGGGGATTTTGGTTAACTTTATTGTAAATAGATCATTATCCAATAGAAAAATGAAATTTTGTTTCAAAGAGAAACTTGATAAATCCTAAATCTCATTTTCTCAATTACAAGTCAAATATGATTATACTTTGTTAAAGTAACTTGCAGAAGATCATGATTCAGGATGAAATTCATTAAATGGGAACATATGTATATATTCCAACTGAAAATTCAGACTAATTGTTCAGAAATAAACTCCTTTAATTGTATGCAGATGCTTCAGTATTTTATGATTAATCACTTAGGGATAAATTAATATTATTCCCCCAGATAGCAGACTACCCCAAGAAACGAGGCCGGCTTGGTGGCTCATGCCTGTTAATTCCAGCATGTTGGGAGACCGAGGCGAGTGGATCACCTGAGGTCGGGAGTTAGAAACCAGCCTGGCCAACACGGTGAAACCCTGTCTCTACTAAAAATACAAAAATACTAAAAATACAAAAATAGCTGGGTCTGGTGGCGGCTGCCTATAATCCCAGCTACTCGGGAGGCTGAGGCATGAGAATCGCTTGAACCCGGGAGGTGGAGGTTGTAGTCAGCCGAAATTGTGCCACCATACTCTAGCCTGGGTGACAGAGCGAAACTCCATTTAAAAAAAAAAAAAAAGAAAAGAAAAAGAAACAGAGAAATTGAATCATCATTTTGTGATTTTACAGTAGTAACTTCTCCAGAATGAAGGGGGAGTTTAAATTTCAGAGTTCTGAGTTGCCCTACCAGTATCTTAATCACAGGGAAAGCCATTCCCTGACATTTTTGGAGCCTCAAGAAGTAGCAGACTCATGTTTGGAGTAAACCATGGCATTTGCAGAGTTGCTACTACTTTTCCCCACCTTTTCCAGCCATAGAGTCAGGTTTATGTGAATTGTCACATGGGATTGTGCTGGGCACCCCTTCTAAAAAGTAGTCACCCAAGCTGTCAAAAAAAGATATGTGGGTACTATGATCAGCCAAAGTCCCCAAATAATGTTGATTCCCTGGAAAATGTCATCCAAAAGGTTTTTGTGTTGTATGATTTAAGCTCTGCATGCTGATCATCTGTTTTTCTGCATATGAAAATTAAAGGACTCCATTTGGTATCTGTCCTGGGCAAATAATTCATTTACAGGCTCCTGAATTCACTTATTAGCTTTGCTGGAAATATAGATAAAATGAATTTTTTTATATAGCATTAGTGGCCAAACAGCAACAGAGCTGGTTTCTGGGCAGCTGTGACAAGTTCCTGGGAAGGTAGCGGAAGAGGGTGGGGAAGGGCGAATGTCACACTTTGTTCAGGTAGCTTTATAGGTGTTGTTTACTTGATCTGAACTTGGCCTGGCCTTAAAGGCCAAAGAATGGCACAGTTATCTTATGCAATTATTTAAGACTGATTTTGTCCTCGTTTGATCAAGAGTAGCCACCGATTCCTCTGTAGCGTGACTTGCCAGCAGGTAAGTGGTGGTAGATACAGGTGTAGTGAAGGACAGAGAAGTGAATGTCTTAATCCTTAGTCAGAGTCTACCTGCCACTGACACTTTAACTCATATTTCTCATGTAGGAGAGATACAGGGACAATCTTACGCCAATTAGGAAGTATTAATAAAAAGACAATATCCTTCCTAGAACCTGTGTTTACTCTGTATAACCTAAGAAATCATATTTAATGAAACTTGTATGTTTATTTGTTCTTCAATGAACGTTTATTATCTCCTGTGTTTAAGCTCTGTGCCAGGCATTTCTATACATTGGTACATGAGCAAGACATATCCCCTGCCCTTGTGGGGTCTACAGTCTCATAGAGAGACAGATATTAAACACATTGTCACAGGAATAAATATAGACCTACAAACTGTGACAGATGCTATCAAGAAAAAGTACATGGCCATACAAGTGACAAGTGGACCCAAGTGAAGTCAAAGAGGAGGTAGCTTTGGTAAGCTGAAAACTAAAGAAGAACTGTTGTCTTATCTATGATTCCTTTTTTAGATGAGAAGCCAATTTTTATTTACATGAGCCTAGAACTTAATTTTACATATAAATACATCATAGGTTTTGCAGTTTTAATTTATGATACATTTTTCTAGGAAAGCAGCTACAGTGAAAATCAAGGGAAGATTATCCTTTTTAAAGAAGTTTTTGTTAGAAACATTACTAAAACTTGTTCAACAATTCAAAAACTTACATCCTTGATTATAGAACCACTCGTTTTTTTTTTTGAAACATTATTACATACCTTCGCTCTGAATGTCAAGCTGTCTTATTTGTATGGATATGAACATATTTTTTAGCCCATATTTTACAATGTTGAATATAATTTTTAAATGTCAACAACATTTAATTGAAATCTGGAATTGGGTTTTGTGATTTCAACCACAATCAATATTTGTGAACATTCCACCCTACCAACATGTTTTTCTTTGTGTGTGTTGCATGTGAATTTTTTTAACTTACATTGAATGCAGCCCACTTTTCTAGTGAATCAGAAAATAATTAGAGTTCTTTGGGTTTTTTTTTTTCACTCTCCTTTTCTATTTGAGAAATTCACTTCTTTTCTGATGCATCTCTCAGAAAAAAATTGTTGTTCTGATTGATTTGGGTTTAAGGACCAAGCCCTACCTGCACTACCTAGAGGTGTTATGGAGGGAAGATCTTATTATGTTTGTGCTTTTGGTCTGAAAAGAGCAGGAGGTCTGTAGGGCTTTTTTCACACAGGTTTGAGAGTTCCCTTCTGCTTCCCATAGAATTCAGAAACCTCTCCCAAGTGCAAGCTTCGTTAAGGCTTAGGAGCTTTATTATAAAATTGCTGCTTCGCTTGTAACGATTCACAATTGCTGTGGTGCTTCTATTGTTCTAAGGATTTCCACTGTACTGACTTCCTAATTTAGGGGTATATAAAAGGTCTTGAAAAAATATCTGTGCTCTCTGATCTTGCTTGGAATTCACAGATGCAGAAACGAAATATTGAATCTATTAATGGAAAACACCCAGGCTTTGTAATGAGGCAGACCTAAATTTGAATCCCAGCTCTTGCTCAAGTTAACAAAGTTTGAGCTTCAGTTTCTCAACTCCAAAATGGGAATAATAATACTTGCCAGAAATAATGAATGCAGACTGCCTAGTATTGTGCCTGGCACAGAGCATACCTTCAACAGACGGAAAGTTATTATTAATATCATTTTGGTCCCTAAATCACCATACTGGTTTATGTATTCACACCATCTCTGTCCCCAGAATATTAGAGACCACCAAGTTCACTGAGTTACAGGGATGTTAATAAGGTTATTGATGAATTTTTACAAACCTATCTGAATCCTCTTAATGGACTTTATTCATCTATAAATAGGGATTGAGACTAAGTCTGTCCCATTCACAGTAGAATCACCAGCACCTAGCACAATGCCTAGCGATACTCAAAAAAATGTTTACTGAATCAATGGATCTAATCTTTCTTTTTCCCATTCCCTTTTAGAGGCCGCAAGAGGAGAAATATCCTGTGGGACCATGGCTGTTGGCACTGTTTGTTTTTGTTGTCTGTGGCTCAGGTATGGGTGTTTCACTGAACTTACATCCCATGTTCTCCACTGGACTTTGAAAAACACACATTTTCTTCACAAAGTAAATAGATGAAAAACAGATTGGTCTGGGATTCAAGTTTACCACTACCTTGAGCCTTAATCTTAATGGGTTTTGATTTAGTTTCTATTCCAAATATAGGTAGAGACAGAATTGATACACTATCAAATCCTAATCATAAAATGATTAACTGAGTACTTAATGTGGCTATATACACTGTAAAGCTCAGTGAAGCCTTTCTTTGCAGACATAACCTTATAAGGGCATTAGAACAGAAGGTGAAACACCTGTCTGCCTGTGATAAACCCACATTCCAGAGAAAGGGAGAGGCCTTATGCCTTATAAGAAGGTTCTGCAGAACTCCTAGATACAGCTGAGCCTTTGACCCAAGCCTTAAGGTATGGGTCACCCGATACTGTAAGGTGGCAAGTTGAGAGCTTTACTTACACACATGTGGATACACACGTACACACACACACAGGGAAGATGAGCAGAAGCATTGTGCCATTGTTTCTAGTTACATGCTGAACTATCCTTGACGTGGTTCCTGGTCCCCATATGTTGGGTCTCAGAAATCCTTGTGAGTGGAGGTCACCTCTTCTAACTACACAGCATGCTGTTAGGGATTCCCACCCTCCATCATCTCACTGTTGCTGAGGGCAGGAAGGCAGGATTTCCACATCTTTCTGCTCAGGCTTAGGCCTCCCAGCAAGACAGCCTCTGCCCCAATGACAAGAGAAGTCCATGACTAAAGATGGGTCATGCATTCAAACCGAAAATCATGAAAATTTTTAAAAAAGCATTTTTAAGATGGATCAGTTCCTTTTACCTTCAAGATACCACTCTTCCAAAGAAGCAAAAACTCTTAGAAGGAGGGATCCAAAGTAATTGGCATTATTGTTGCTTGTGGTTCAAATATTTTAAAGATGATTTGACATTCCAAGATGAGAAAAATCTTCCACCCAAAGAAACACAGTTCTACTCTATTCCCAAAGAAATATCCTTTAGGACATCTTTTAAACAACTGTTTACTCAATCTCTGTTTGAATACTTCTGAGGATGGGGTGCTCACTTCTTCAAAAAGCCTATTCCATTTCCATATAGTTGGAATTCTATTAGAAATGTCCCTCCTCCTAAGGATAACACAGAATGGACTCTTTCTCCTCTAAACACCTTGAATCATCAGATATTTTAAAGATGGCTGCCTGGTGACTCCTTCTGCAAACTGAGCTTCCCTAGTTCTCTCCACCTTGCCTCCTAAGACGTGGTTTCTAGACTCCTCTTCTGGATCTGCTCAATGACTTTCTTAAAGTATAGCATTTGGTGGTGCATGCCTATAATCCCAGCTACTCAGGAGACTGAGGCAGGAGAATCGCTTGAACCTGGGAGGCGGAAGTTGCAGTGAGCCGAGATCGCGCCATTGCACTCCATCCTGGGCAACGAGAGCGAAAATCCTTCTCAAAAAAAAAAAAAAAGTATAGCATTTGCAACTGCAGAAAGTGGTCTAGAAGCAGTGTGATCATCACAGAGGCAGTTAGAGGCAGTAGGGTTGTCACTGCCCTTGATTTTGCTCGCCCACCACTCTGCCTCTATTAATATGACCCAGGCTTGCAGTTACTTTTTAACAGTTGCAGCACATCCTTGACTCGTGTCTAGCTGATGGCCAGCAAGGTGCCACCCAGCTCTTCCTCACATAAACTTCCTGCAAGCCTCAGAGTCACATCTACATACCCCTTTGCCTCAAATTATCTCCTGTCTCTATCACACATTATTTTATTTTACTTATGGCCCTCATCAGCAGTTGGAGTTATTACTTTCTTATGTTCATTCCCTCCAGCAGGATATAAGCTCAGGGGAGGCAGTGTTTATTTTCCATTAAATGTGTAGATCCTAGCTTAGTATTTAGCATATAGTTAGTGCTCAGGATGGATGGATGGATGGATGGATGGATGGATGGATGGATGCAGCTAGATATTTCTCATACTGTAGATATCTGGTTGGCCTTTTTTGAGACCTAATATAAAACTTTATGACATTTCTTTTTTTATTCTCAAAGCAGAATGGTTACTTTTATTAAAATTTTATTATTGGTTATCATTTATCTTTTTATGTAATGTCCATAAAGTTCAGAAACATAGATGAACATGTACAATAAATGGCTTACTGATATTACATTATAATATACAATATGGTCAGTGACATTACATGATATATTCATGTATTGTCCTTCATTAGTAATGCATAAGTCCAAGCACTGTGCAAAATTGCAATGAATATGACACATTAATGCAGCATTTCCATCAGTACCTACATATTCATCTGTGATGCATTGCCTCAGATAATCTGTCTCTGATTTTCAACCAAGAACAAAATAAAAACAAACAAACAAAACTGTGCCTTTAGCATGCCACAGGAAAATCCAGATAATAAACCTGCACAAAAAAGTTAGCTATGTTTTCAGGCTGTATGACCAGTCTGTAGACTGTCAGATCTTGAACTTTGAGCCTCTGATCTACTTACCCTTTTTTTCCAGCGTTATGGTCTCTGAAAGTATATTATTCTTCCAAGTCACTGGTAAAAGTCCAGACTTGAAGAAACCCACAGAACACAATTAGAGACAACCTCTTTCAGATTGACTTTGAACCTCTAAGCAAAACTCATTGAGACGATCATTGTGTCTTGAGGGTCCCCTCTGTGTCTGGCGCTGTGCCGGGCTTTGGAAATACAATCCTGTTTGGGTGCTTGCAGGCATTGGGAGAAGCAGATAAGGAAGCTGTCAGTTGTAGCCCAGGGGAAGCATGCTGCGATAGTGACAGCAGAATGTACAGGGTGCTTGGCCAGCATCGATAAGGAACTTCTAAATCATCCTCCGCAGAAGAGAAAGTTTCCAAGTGGGGGTGCTGTTTGAGCGGAGCCTTGAAGAACAAACAGCCAGACCAAGGGTGCGATGAAGGTGACTCTGCATGGGAGCACTATGTGGCAGTGGCAGGGTGGCTTCAGAGAGTGTGCTGGGCTCAAGAATATAAGGTGCTCAGAATGGCCAAAGCCTAATCTCAGGCATCTCTGAGCCCAGTGACCATGCCACCTGTATTGCCAAGGGTCTAAGTAGATAAAGATATATCTAGGCTTCAAGTCACACAATAACTGTGGTTTTCTCCAATCTACCCCGCTGGGCCGCCTATAAGCAAAAAAGCCAGTAGGATCATTGGCCTGGCTTATTTTTCTCAAATCCATGCCAACTCTCAAAATCCTTCTCTTCCTTTTTGAAGGGCTTAAAAAACCATCATATGACCTAAACTTTTGCCTGGCTTACCAGCCCATACCGCAGGACCTGTGTCTTTCCCTCTTGGGTAAATTGAGACATTTGCTAACAAGCATCTTTTGGAACTCTCCGGACTCCAGTGGTGTCCCAGGGATTAAGTGTGGTAGCTCCGCCTCTCTGGAGGCTTGTGCAGGGCCATGGGATGTGAGACTGCAGAGCCTGGAGATCTGAATGAAAGGGCCTGAGAGGACCCACTCTTATTGCCATACCATAGCCCCTGCCCTTAGTGCCCAGGGATGTTTTAATGATGCCGATTTAAAACTTTCTAGTGATAAAGCCATTTTGCTTCTATGGAGAGGTTAGACATGGAACACGAGTTGAGCTGTCTTACTTTCTCTGTCCTCTGTTAACGTGCCATCATGATCCCTAAGCAATGGGCCTCATCCCTCTTTTAATCACAACTAAAAATAATTCACCACCACCCGTTTTTTTCTTGCCAACTTTAGCAATTGTTTTGCAAGCCTCAGCTCAAGTCGGGCACGGTTCTCACAGAAATGTGTCACCCTTCTCAGCTTGTCCTTGGTACTGTGCCCTTCCTTCTATCTTTGTACACGTTCTTTTCTAAACAGAACATGTCATGGGAAACAATAGCTTCTTTAGCCCCGTCCCTGTTGCCACCTCTCTGGGATTAGTCACGATTCATTTCATCTTGCAGAGCCGACTATTCCCTCGAGTGTCTCCCTTTTTAGGGTCACAGGCCATGAGTGCCTACTCACCTTTTCTCTACATGTAAAAGAATATGCAGTCCTCAAGCCTAGCCCCATTTGTCAGCTGCTTTGCTTTAAATAATGAGTTTTCTGGTAGGTGCTAGGATAGTTGAGGTCCTCGTCGGTGGTCTGTCTCACCGCTGTTCCAGCTTTGCAATCTGAAATAGGAAAATCCTCTACATCTCACATCTGCCTGGCTGTCTGCAGCATGCACACCTGTACCCACACACCTGCCCTGGCCTGCAACACTCAGGCCAAATGCACTGGAGTGTCTTGTAGGATCTCCACACCTCTGCAGACAGATGGACCCTTTTCCTGTTCCTTTCTATTAGCTCTCCTTTAAACAAGATACACCCCTATGCCAGGCTCAAGTTCCATTTCACCAAGTTCCAGTGGGACCTTGGAGGTCATATGGGCTTTCTTTGCATTCATGTGGTTGGTTACTCTTACTTTGTGTGTTTTTATACAGATGCTAAAGAAAAACGTGCATAATCTTCTAATATTAATAAAGATGTTGATCATTGATGGGAATCTCTTGAAAGTCTCACTTGCTTTCATTACCTCACTCTATTAACCCACTTTTCTCCTTGATGATTGGTTGGGCAAAGTGCTCTTTTTAGAAATAGTGCCAGTGTACCTAGGGTAAATAAATATTGAGGTCAGGCAGACAGTAACGAATGCACATTTTATCTGTTTTTCTGGCTGTCTTCTGGGAAAGGGTTAGAACTGGTTAAAAAAAAAAAAAAAAAAGTTGCCATTTCTATGCTCACTTATTAGTCACCGTTTCTCCATTTTATGTGAAAAACCAGGTTAACAAGCCTGTAAAAAGCTACAGGACCCCTTTCTTATAGAGAGGCATGGGTCCCTGCCATCACTTGCCTCCTGTTTCTCAGCTTCTCTCCTGTGGCTTCCTCCTCCTCTACATGGGCCTTTCATGCCTGCCATCCTGACAAGAGTAAGATAGTAACAAGGAAGGAATGAGGACTGGAGAGTAGTGGGAGGACTCAGTCCAGGCACCCAGAGACCCCTGGCATAAACACACACCCAGGGAGTGCCACCCCTTACTGGGAAGCCAGATAGTAGCAATTGACCTCCCGGGGCTGCCCCACACCCCCCAGATCCAAGCGCAGCCCAGCCCTGTTCTTTCTTAGGCACTTGGTGGTAATCTCTAATACATTGCCCTGGAGAAAGGGAGTTTGGGGAGGTTATCTAAATACACACTCTTCAGAATAAGCGAATTTCTACTTTGCATGATTGCAAAAGTTCTCTTAGGCAACGGACTGCTTTGAAAACTGACCAACTGGCACTCATAGAACAGGAGGCCTCCAAGGGGAGGATAGTTTTAGAATCTGCCAGATGTCAGTTCAGAGCCTAGATTCACTTTTGTCAGCCAAGGTATTTACTCTTGGTATTGATTCCCTTATCAAGAAAATGGAGACAATGAGCAGCCCTCCCAAGGTGTCCTGGCATTGAGGACACCTTGGCTCTAGGGATCTAGGTGCAGGCCCACAGCAAGCTCAAAGCCTGCAGCTACCGTCACCACCACCTATGTCCTTATAGCCCTCATGGGGAACAGTGGCACCACGGGACTATCGGTTTACTGTGGGACACTTCAACTTCCACGCGCCTTTCACCCTTCCAGGCTGCACATTCAGTTGCACGCTCAGCCTCTCACATTGATCTTAATCTATCAGCAAGCCATGGGCCCTGCCTCTTCACTCCAAGGATGAGTGGGAGCGACATAAGTGGTAACACTTCAGGTGCATGAGACTGTTTTCCACATGATAAAGCATCAAGTCTTCCCCACACAGGGAGAAGGATCACCAACCTGCAGACCACAATCAATGAACAGCAGTTAGTCCTTTAAGTTGAATATCAGGAAAAAAAAATGTGAGTTTCATTTCCTTAAAGCAACTGCAATCCACCAGTCTTTTGCTGTAGAAGTTATCTTTATGAGATACAAAAGCTTTGGGAACAGTATATGCTTCTGGGACATGCTATTATCCAATTAGAACATCTCAGGGCTGTATCCTGTTTCATTTTGTTTAATTTGATAACCAGCTTTTTTGTTTTGTTTTGTTTTTTAGACAGAGTCTCAGTGTTGCCCAGGCTGGAGTGCAGTGGTGCCATTTCAGCTCACTGCAGCCTCCGCCTCCCTGGTTTAAGCAATTCTCCTGTCTCAGCCTCCCGAGTAGCTGGGATTACAGGCATGTGCCACCACACCCAGCTAATTTCTGTATTTTTAGTAGAGACAGGGTTTCACCCTGTTGTCGAGGCTGGTCTCAAACCCCTGGCTTCAAGTGATTCGCCCTTTTTGGCCTCCCAAAGTGCTGGGATTACAGGCATGAGCCACCGTACCCAGACAGCCTTATGAATATATAGATTATGTAAGAAATCAAAAAACTCATTTCTTAATCAATACCTGTTATGGATCTGCTCAGATTATTATCCCAAATAGGCCAGAAACGTCTTGTCAAACCTAAGCCTGGGATTGTTTTGCTTGAGCCTGTTTAAATGGTTGGATTTGTCTCTACTTTGATCTCCTAGGATCCAGATCCACATCTGAGGCTAAAGGATCTCAGTGCCCTCATAAGAGACTTTGCCCTTTTTTTCTCTCCTCTTTTAATAAAAGCATTATCTTCTATTTCTGCAGGCAGTGGGGCCTCTTTCCAGATAAGCAGCTCATCCTGGCTCTGCCAGTCCCAGGTTTTGAAACCTGCCTCTTTGGAGAGTTGTTTGAAAGCTTCTGAAGAATGCTTGCTTTTATCTCAAGACTCAGAGGCGAGCCTTAGCTGGAATGTCTGTCTCAGACTGTTCCCCACAAAGATACTGTCACACAGATAGGTCCACTGCTATCTTCTCAAGGCACTTGCAGACTTGACATGCTTCCCCAGCCCATTCATGGACCTAGTCACTGCTATTTGTGTCCAGAGCCCTCGCCCCGGGTGTTTTCTTTCCCTTTTTTCCCCAGCTCTTGTATGAGCCTTACTGAGAAGGACTCTCAGGCTATACCTGCACTGAGTGGGAAAGTGGGCTGCAGTCGATTGGTAATGTCTGTCCTGAACACGGTATGGCTGGCAGGGCCACGTCCTCATCTTTGCTATCCTTAGCCTAAACTTTTTATAAGGTGATTGCTCCAGTATTCACAAGACAGCTGTCTTCAGCATTCCAGCTTTCCTCTTTGGCCAGAATGCCTCCTGGACTTGGTGAAATGAGGACTTTTCCTTAATATGCTACCCGTTCTGACAATTTTGTTTAGAGTCAGCCTATACATGTTTCTTGTATTATTTACCTTTTCTGAGCTCTGGGTGCAATACTCTACATTGACAGGATGCAGCAATCTGAGACGGCACTCCTTGCAATGTGCTTGTATTTCTCTGTGTCCTAATGCCTCAATGATAGTTTCAAGTAGCATCAATGGAGTCACCATCTAATTCCCAACATCCTTTGACTCTCAGAGGGAAACTCTTAAATACCAGCCATGTCCCAGTTCCCTCCCTCAGACTAGTTCTCCCTCATGTATTCCTAATTTCAATTTTATTTCTCTTTCACTGGCCAACCCTGATATTCATTTCCTAATTAGAGATTATGAGAATTTTAATGGTGACCAAAGCCTGGCTATTCTTGAAACTGACAAACATTTATCCCCCATCAAAGGGAAATCTCTAGAGTAACAGGATTAGCTAGTGACTGTTATTTTCCTCACTGTTTCCTGTAGTTTTCAAGTTTGTCAAAGAGCATACATTACTTTTATAATCAGAAAAAAATGTTTTTTAAAAAAAATCTAGACTATTGGTTTTCAGTCTTTTTTTAAAGCAGCGGAACTTTGTTAAAATCTTAGAGGGAAACAAATGAAAGAGCAGCTGTTCTGGTTGAAGTGAAGCTTGTGCGTGTATGTTTCTGTTTGCATTTGCGTGTGTGTTTGTATACATGGGTTTTTTGTGTGTTTATGTTTCCATGTGTGTATTTGTGAATGTGTATGTATGTGTTAGTGTGTTCATATGTGTGTATGTATATGCATGTATATGCATGCGTGTTTGTGTGTGTGTGTGTGTGTGTGTGTGTGTGTGTGTGTGTGTATACAGCATACCTCCCTATGTTGCTGGATATTATGACTTTCTCATCCCCAGAAGGGAGCACACATCTGGACCCTCTTTGCCCATCAAATAGGAAATTGTGCCTGGCCCCAGAACTGGCTTCTCATACTGCAGAGTTAATGCCTTTCAACAAAGAGCCTGTGAGGTTTCTCAGGCACCATCCATTGGGAGTCGCTCTGCCGTTTCTGGGCAGGGACATTTCTTTCCTCTGTCAGTTAATAGGCTGTACTTTCCTCCTAATTCTCCAGGGCATCTGCCTGCTGTGGGGTGATGTGTGGGGGAGAGAGATCATGTCCCAGACAGGTCCTTTTTTAGGACAGCCTCTTCAGAACAGATGTGAAGAAGTGATTCTCTAAGATGTCGTTGGCAGAGCCTGAATCCTCCCGTTCTCCCAGCCTTGTGTTTTGGATGGCCCAGCTTTCTCCCTGTATGAATGTGCTGGAGGCCTCTCCATTTCTGGAAAGGCCACACCCAAACTTTCCCCAAACAGAAGAGGACTGGCTCTTCTGTTAAGGATGGTGTGGAAGAAGCAAAGTACAAGTCACACACGTCAGGGACATACGGGAAGCTAAAGAGCCACTCTTTTCGCTGCCCTCTGCACACTCCCTATGTGGCCACCAGTTTTGTGGCAAACTGTCTTTGAGCCCAAAGGTTGAGGAGACTTCAGAATGGAGCCTTTTGCAACAACTAAGAAATGTTGCTTTGTGAACTGTTAGCTGCTCTCTGAAATCTTTCAGGAACACAAAATTTGAGGAAGATCTGTATTTTGGGGTGTATCGGGTGAAAGCTACCACATTCTCATGTGCACATTCCAGGGGGGAAAATTACATGGTTGCTAAGAGCTGCAACTTCAGGGCCAGACTTTGTGGATTTGAAGCCATCTACTAGCTGTGTAGCCTTGTCTAAGATACTTATACCCACCTGAAGCCTAAGCTCTTCCATTCCTAAAAGAGGATGGTACTGGTTCCTAACTCCTGGGACCCTCAGGATTATTCATCCCGAGGACTAACTGAGGCAATACATGTGGAATGTCCAGTGGAATCACAGTATTGGCTTTATAAGTGTTTGCTGTTCTTGTAATTATGTTTACGGTTCTGCTCACACTGCCTTTCCTCCTCTCCACCTCCCTGGGAAGGTCCTCACCAAAGCTCTGAATGCCTACGAGGGAAGAAATAAAATTTTTCCCATTTTGGCAGCCTTGCTTTGTAATGGTGAGAAGACTTATAGTGGGTGAGCGCTGCACTGAGATATTTAGGAACCTGCCTGAGCCGAGACCAGCGCCCCCCCGGATAGGTAGAGGATATGGTTTGTAAACCACAGAATCAGTGGGGTCACCTCTGCAGGGATAGCTGGAATTTCTCTATGTCTGGAAAGAATTCTCTATAAACTAGCCCGTGGGGGTGAGCAAGATCTATTCGTACAACTATTTTGGCTACTGTTTCTTGAGGACTGACTTCTTGTAGTGCCAGACCCTACACATACATCTTCTCTGTCACACAGTCTCTGCAAAGATGCTGTTACACTTACTTTTCCAGATCATGAAACTGAGGCTCATAGAGGAAATTGGCCAATGTCCCATAGCTAAAAAGTGAGAGAGCTAGTCCCCAAACCTAGTTCTCTCAGACTTTAAAACCTATCTGTTTTCCATTACTCTGCGTTCCCTCTCTCTTACCGTTTCCCTAAAAGTTCTATGGAGCAAAAGTTTTCCACCAATTTAGGCCTTTAGCATATGACTATGTGTTTAAAAACTTCTGCTAAAACATCCCCTGTTTTTCCTGCCAGAAAAGGTGTGTTTTCCAGAGGTTCCTGATGTGCAGCCATCCTGGGACTTGCTCCCAGATGGAGACAGACTTGACCCAGCCACAGACTGCTTCTTGGTTGGGCCACCAGTGCCCCCACTCACTCCCCTGGACACTTGCTCCAGAACAGACTTGAATTCACCATATTTGCAGGTCAACCACATAAACTGGCCTTTCCTGGAGATTGCCAGAACTTTCTCAAAACTGTGACATCCAGAGGGAGTCACCCCCCAAGACCAGCAAGTGGAATGTTTGTGGAACTGGCCAGCCCTGGAGGAAAGACTAAGGCCATTCATCTGCCCTGGAGTTCCATCCTCGGGATCTGAGATGCACAACCTGGAGAAGACATGTCATCAGATCATCGCTCCCTCAAGGTGACCTATGGCATCCCTTGTGCCCTGGGGGCATTTGGGATTGTGTAGAGGCTCTCTCAAAGCAAGTTTCTGATAGAACGCTTTACATTCTTTGCTAATAACATCTGGGTTTTAATAGCGCCTTGTTGCCCTCGCCTGTCTTTGGCATCTCTCTTTTTTCCCTCTTCTCCATCTCTAGAGAAGCCACCAGAAAATGGTATCGTACTTTTGACTCCCTTTGTGCTGATTCTTTTAGAGAATTTAATGATCTGCCTTGCAATGTCTTGTCTCCTGACATTTCAGCGTGTTTCTCAGAGGTACTCCACTTCGCTTTCTATCAGCTCTTTGATCATTCTCGTTTTCTTTAATGAAAAATAATCAAAATTATATGATTTCTAGGTTGTCTTCTTCTCCTAAAGGATATCTTCCTTCTGGTCTCTCTTAATCTCTCTTCTCAGCAACTCCTTTTCTCTCTTTTATCATCAATTTATTGTCAATAAAAGTGGCTTTAGGAAGCCTCCTGTTGGCTGACAATGTTCCAGCTTTCTGACACTTTCTTATGGGACGCACTTGTTATGTCATCCCTGTGTCCTTCTGGCACTCCCTCTTAACTGGGGAGGGTCAGTCTCTAGGGTGAGAGTGGGTTGGGGTGGCCCCTTCTCAGGCCTTTAGGGGCTTATGGTCTTGTACTTCCCCTTCAAAGACTGAGCTTTAGAGACATTTGGATCTAAAGGCAGCCATTTGATGCTGACTCTTTTGGTTTGCAAAGTAATCATTTGAGGTTTTTAAAAATGTATTTTCCTCTGTGCTCTTTGCAATTATTCGCCTTTCAGTAATTCAGTCACATTTACAGAGGATCTACTTTGTGCCATATCTGGTCCTGTTATCCTGGAGTTTATAGTCTAATGGCAAAGAAAGATGAGTTAATCAAGTCATCACACCAAAACACTTTCAATTCAGCCATGAAACTGGACAATTTCAGCCATGAAACTGTTTAAAGGAGAGGCACATGGGGCCATGAAAGCACATAATGCAAAGGGCTGGTGTTCTCAAAGTGTGGTCACTGGACCAGCATCTCAACATCCCCTGTGAACTTGTTAGAAACACAGATTCTCAGTCCCTTATCCCAGACCCAGTAGATTAGAATCTCCAGGGTACGGGGGAAGGTGTCCAGCATTTGTGTTTTAACCTGTCACCACAAGACTGTGATGCATGCTCAAGTCCGAGAGCCTCTGCTCCAGGTGATCAAAGATGGCTTCTCTGAAGATGTTAACTTTTGGGTGATGAAGGAAACTAGGGAATAGGGTAGTATTGAAGTATTTCAGGCAGAAAGAGTGGCATGTGTAAAAGCCATGTGGTGAGAGCATGGAGCTTTGGAAAACATGAGGGAGCACCCAAGCAAGGAGCAGAGTGATATAAGGTGAGTCTGACAAGTGGACAGGGGCCAGGAGTGCAGGTCATGGTGGCCTCATCAGGGATTGGGCAATGGGAAGCTTTTGATGTGCAGTAAACACAGGAGTGACAATATATTACTTGTTTATGTTGAAAGGATAATTCTAGCTACAATATGGAGAATGGATGGAAAAAGAGCAAGAGTAGAGCAGTGGGAGGGCCTCATTGGGGTCTGGGGGAGGATGATGATAACTTGGACTAGGGTGGCTTCTGACGAATGGAAAGAAGGGTGCATAATCACAAGATTTCCAGGTAAAATCCACAGGTCTTGGTTATCCATTGGAGGTGTCAGGGAGGACTGTGGTATTTTGCGTCTACATGCAAGATGGTAGATAATTATGCCAGTTTTAGCAATGGGACAAGATCATGAGAAGGTCCTGTTGAGTCCGAGGTACCTCTGAGCCACCCAGGTGTAGATATCAACTAGATGGTAGAAGGCGTGCTGGAGCTCAGAGAAGTCAGGGCTGGAGATACACATCTGTGCATCATTAACAGCTAGGTGGCAATTCAGACTGTGGGTCAGGAGGCATCGCCTAAGGAGAAGGAATGTAACGAGAAAAAAGGCTGCAGCGATGCTCATTGCAGAATGTCAACACCCGTGTTTAATGATCAAGTGGATTGCTTCCTCGAAAGTAAGCTTAGAGGAAAGAGCCAAGAGAAGGAGGAAAACTAGAACCTAGAAGATCATGGTTTCACAGAGGCCAAGGGAAGAGAGCTTCCAGGAGCAAGTGCCCAGCGGGGGCGAGTCGGGGTAAGGCAAGAGAAGGTGGAAGAACGCCTGTTACACTAAGTGACTCAAAGGTCGTTTGTGACTTTAGCAAAAGACAGTCCATGGAGGGAAAAGAGCAGAAGCTAGAATGAGGTGGATTGAGGTGAGAATAGCAGGTAAGGGAGGGCAGAAAGTGAGTGTAGACAGCTCTTCAGAAATGGTTGTGAAGAGGAAGAGAGGGCCCCATCGATGGGGATGTGCACTCAGATTTCCAGGTAAAATCCACAGGTCTTGGTTATCCATTGGAGGTGTCAGGGAGGACTGTGGTATTTTGCGTCTACATGCAAGATGGTAGATAATTATGCCAGTTTGTTTGATTTCGCAGTGGGAGTGCTCCTGGCATGTTAAAGCCTAAGGACCTCTTTGAAAGGGGGAGGTTGAAAAAAGAGAAATGGGATCATCTAAGGTTACCAAGGGCCAAGTAACAGGTAGGAGGATGCAGAGGCCTCATGGGTCTGGTAGCTCCTGCTCTCACCTGGACTTTTCTGAACCTCTGTGACCTGCCCACGCCCTGATCGCCTGCCCTGGAATGCCTGCTGTCCCTCCCTTTCTTGGCATCTCTCCTTCCTGCTGTCTCGCCTGCCCACAGTTCCTCTCCTGCAGCCTGCTCTGCTGTTTTCTCAGCTTTGTTCACCCACTGTTAAGTTATTAACTTGTCAGGGTCTAGACTCCCCGCTTCCTTTCCCTCTTTTGAACTCACTGCTGGCTCCTTTCCCGTTTGCCACCTCGGAAAGTCAGCATTTGGAAGGCCGAGGTTACTCTCCAGGTCAGTATTGGCAGGCACACAGAATTACAGTTAATATAATTAGCATAAGATGTGTAAGTTTTCTAAAAGACATTGATACAACTGAAAAAAATAATAAACACAACCATCTCTCTATTATCTTGTGGAGGTAAATGGTGAACTTAAAAATAGACTTTATTCAAAGTAGTGTCTCACAGAAGGTTCATCTGTGAACATGTTAAGGACCATTGGACTCTTACATGTTAATTCATGGATTCAATTATGATCAGAAATGATCCTCAGTTTTTAAAGCAAACTCAAAGAACTATTTAAGTTGGGTTTTTTTGGGTTTTTAGGCTTTTTTTGTTGTTGTTTTTTGAGATGGAGTTTTGCTTTTGTTGCCCAGGCCGGAGTGCAGTGGCGCTATCTCGGCTCACCAAACCTCTGCCTCCTAGGTTCAAGCGATTCACCTGCCTCAGCCTCCCGAGTAGCTGGGTTTATAGGCATGTACCACCATGCCCGGCTAATTTTGTATTTTTAGTAGAGATGGGGTTTCTCCATGTTGGTCAGGTTGGTCTCGAACTCCTGACCTCAGGTGATCTGCCCCCCTCAGCCTCCCAAAGTGCTGGGATTACAGGTCTGAGCCACCGCGCCTGGCCAGGCAAGTTGTTTTAATATAAGTGTTGCTGTTCTGAGACATGCAAACTACGTCTTAGATTCTTTAGAGAGATTTGTAACAGTTCCTTAAAAAGAACTGCATGATTTCTTATCATTACCTAGAACTTTTGAAGTCATGAATTAACTTAATATGGGTGGTACATGGACTAAGACACAGATGGTTTCCTATCTGTTGACTTACACCCTGCTGATAATTTTTTGTCTAAGGGCAAGAGTAAGTGAAAAGTAATATTTTTGAGCATATACTTATGTCATCGTATTTATTCCTCGCCATCCTTTGAGGTACTTCTTATCCACAGTTTTACAGGTAGAGAAAAGCAGGGCTCAGAACTGTGTAGTAATTTCCCAAAGTTCACAACTTTGTGGGTGGCAGATAGTGCTGAGCGCCGGTCCGCATGCTCGGATGTGGGGAGGCAGCAGTTGCTGTAGTAACGGTGATGATAGCAGTGGTCAGCAGGCATGGAGTCCCCTATGTGTGAGGACCCTTCCTATATGTCATATGGCTTAATCCCTATGAAAGCCCTGCAAGGGGCATCATCCTTATTTTACAGAACAGGAAGCAGCCTCAAAGAGGTTAATTATTTGTCCAGTCACACAGCTCTTCAGCAAAGAGAAGATATTCAACCCAATTTGATCTGATCCTAACTTTCTGCTCTAAAGTCAACTTGTTTGTCAAGATTTGTGATAGTTCCCTGATCCCAAGAACGAGAGGCATGATAGATGTAAATTTTTTTTTCCTAATGCTGAATATACAGCTGCCTCCTGGCATTCCTATTGAGCCAGAACACAGAATGTTTATTTCATTTTTACACCTTGTCAGCCTTGGTGGTGAGGAAAGGAACATCAGATATTTATGCAAGCTTATCAATTGTTGTAGGGTACTTTCTCTTCCATCTAGCAACTGCCCTGTCAGAACCCACCCAGGAACCCAAACTGAGCTAAGAAAACATCTGAGGACATCCAGAATTAAATATCACAAGTTGTTGAACCAGCGCCTTCACCGTATCCACAGATAAGTCCCTGACACTCATATGGAGCCAACTGACTCTGATTTGACACAAAATTCTAACAGCTTCTGTTTGCAGCTTAGTCTACAGCAGAAAAATAATAGCAGAGGGCCCACTGCAGACTGATGTAGTAATTCCAGAGATGTGGCCAGAGATGAGCAGAAAGAAACCCAGAAAATGATCAGAAGCAGAAACGAGAGCCCGGAAGTGCAGCCTACCAGAAGCCTTTCAGTGTCAGCTCAAACGCAGCCTCCTCCGAAGCCAGATCACAGCACTGCCTCATCAATTACTGGTTTTCATTATGGTGACACTGAACGCTCATGAAAAGTTAGCATTGAAATACGTTAGTATTTCCAATTTAGAAAGGTTGTGATGATGGGTACAGTGTTTTTTAGGAGGAAGAAGGCCAAAAAATGCATTCATGTTTGTCTACCCTTAAAACCCAGCTGTCCAAGAACAATTTTCCAAGGTTCTGTGCATCATGACTCTTTGTGTCCTCGAAGCGCAGTGTCTCACACATAGGATGTGCTCACTGATGCCAGGTGATGAAACGCTCAATGCCTTGTGTCCTAGGGGTCTGGATAACTCTGTTTTATTGTGGGTCCTGGATGTATTCCAGGATGACTTTATGAAGGCGAGAAGATATAAGACCCCTGAGAGCTCACTGTTTATTCTGTGTTTACACATGGTTAGATGAGATGATACCCACCTTCCTTCGAAAAAAAAAAAAATTCAGTACATGGTAGTTGCTCTCATCGTTACCATTATTTTTGTCAACACTGACCAAGGTTGCTCACTGGAAAAGATGTGAAAAAGAAGTTAGGATCTTCCTCTCCTGGGACACATTTGAAAGCCAAGAGCTGGAACCAGGCTGAAGCTATCTAACCAGCTCTAATCCACATGGGCAAGGGCCCCAGGATTCTCTGCGGGTTTACAGGCTACCTACCCCCTTGACAACCCCAGTTATTAAAGATTCGGCCCTGAATAAATCAGCGCTGCTCTCCCTGAGAGACAGCTGCCTTTCAGAGAGTTCCAAGCAGCCGGAAGACACACACCTGGAGGGTTCTGGGCAGCCAGAGGCCAGGCGCCATAGGCTGCTGGGAGCACCTGGTCTGCCTTCGCTGCGCAGGGCTGATTGTTTTACAGGTCACAGCCATTTCGAAAAGGCGGACTCGCTGACCTGTTTAATGAGTGCAGTTTCTGCACGAAAGCCCATATCCCTCTCCCAGGCAGCCCCAGAACTTTGCTGGGGAAGGGGGCCAAATCTCTTCTCAGTGCCTGAGGGATTTCTGGCCTTAACCGCTGGTGGAATTAGCAGGAGTTATCTATAAATCCCTGAGGCATCCATCAGCCGACTGAGTGAGGCTGCCTTTTTAAAGAAGTTCACTGACCTCTTGTTAACTTAACTCCTTGTTAGGAAATATTTAATCAACTGTGAGCTAACACGTCAGGGCCCAGGGGTCTGCAGAAGCCGGGCTCACTATGGGCTGGGTTTCCAGCTGTGTGCAGTCTGGTGTCTGAGCTGTTGTGTTTTCCTCTTTCAGCTATCTTTCAGATCATTCAGAGCATAAGGATGGGCATGTGAGAAGGCCAGGGATTTAACACCACCTCCCTCCCACTGGAGGGGGGAGGACCACAGACGCCGTCAGCCAGTTTCTGCAGGAAGCAAGCAGGCCACACGGAATAGAAAAAAACACTCCCCTACTTGTTCCCTGATCACTTCATCGCGGATGTCAGACCGAATTGCCTTCTCACAGGACATCTTGGTGCATCCGTGTTCTCAAGCGGAAAGGACATTTTGCTTTTCTGTTGGCAGGATTAGTAGCCACGCGGGTCGTCCGCAGCAGTGCTGTCTTTTTGGTTTTTCCCTTGGTTTCGCTAATGTGTGCATGTGGCCCTCTGAATGATCGCTGGTTTACTTTCTATGGATACGATCTCTCCTCCATTGAGAATTGGTTTTACAAATAAATGTCTTCGTTCAACCTTATACCATGTGTGGGTTATAGTGAGAAAACTAAGGTGAAGAAAATAGCAGAATAGTTCAAGGGAGGTTGGGAGGTGGGGTGACTTGATTATGCAGTTGGAGGAGGGCAGGGAATCTGGGACAGCGGAACCAGAGCTAGATTTACTCAGCAGGTCTCTGGCAAGACTCTCAAGATCTTTGCCTGAATGAAGCCCTGGGCAGCTCTAACGACCTTGCATTTTCTATACATTTGATTCTTCTTCCCCCCCTTTTTTTTTTCTTTTTCAATATTTTTGTGTTGTATTATTTGCTGTTCTCTTTTTCAGTTCAGAAAAGGCATGCACAATGTATGTGAAGGTTCAACTACTCATGATCTTCGCTGTGGTCTGCCTCGGAGCTTAGTACTGAGCAGATGTCCCCTGCCTCTTGGTGAGAACCATCCAACTCCAGGGCCCAGCCTCAGCCATTCCAGAGCTCTGGGTAAATCAGAACCCTGCAGCCCTCTGGGGCATCAGCTGGCAGAATGAGGGGGTGGGGTCCCCTCCCTGGCCAGCATTCCCCACAGCTTCTCAAAGCATGGCGTTGCCCAAGGACATTACAGGGACAGCCACAGGGTCACTGGAAGATTAGAGGTGGTCACCCTGCAACATGAAGCATGCTTTTGTTTTTATTAATTTTCATCTTTGCATTACCAATTTTTTTCATTCATTAGCTTCGCGAGAGCTGTAAAAAGGGAAGTGATAGACACGGCCAGAGCCTCTCTGGACCGCTTCACAGGTTTTGTTGTTAGTGGCACTGTTTGAATTAGGAGACATTTTTTTCATTGGAATCTTTCACTTCAGATCCTTTAGTGATGTTCTTTAGGGCCTTCTTTTCTCCCCACTTTTGAGCTCCCCTCCAAATGCATCCCTTCCCTCTTTTTCTTCCTTTCCCACTAAGAAGAGAGGGTACCTAGGCGCCGTGGGAACAGCCTATCACCCTGTGCTCCCCTGCTGCTCCCACTCCCCAGCCCCCAGCCCCTCACAAAGTGGCAGAAGATATTTCCAGTTACCCAAGAGTGGCACACAGTAGATGCTCTCCAAGCTAGTCCCCTCCACCGATTGGCTCTGACTATCCTCTTGTAGGTCACTGAGTCAGATCCGTGTGTGGTAAGAGATCAGCCCTCAGGGATCCTGCTTGGGGCCCGGGAGCCCACGCTGCCTGCCAAGAGGGGGAAGAAGAAAGGCTTCTGGACTTCAGGTGACTGGGTCTGTGCTCCCACACATCTCTTTCCAGCTCCTGCACTGCCTAGACTTGATTTGAGTGCAGAATTTCTCTTTCTCCCTTAATGCCTATAAAAGCACACATCCCAAACCACCAAGAGAGGCCATTACTGGCCTGAGCTTTGTGGTTCATCCTTTATTAGACGGAATTTTTTTTCCCCTAATTTGGCTTTCCTCATAACAGCAATAGTCAAGAGGGTGATTATCCCCATTTCAAGGAAAGGGAAACCAAATCCTGGCCAGAGTCAGTTCCAGATAGACCCTGCTTTTTCCCAGGTGACAGGTGTGATGGGCTGCGTGTGGTGGACTGTTGGCTGCCATCCATAAAACTGTCCAAGATTGATTTCTCTCCTCAGGCTCTGCAATCATCCACAAACTGGTTTTCTATTAGTTTCCAGGTAGCCTCCCTGAAGTACCTGCATATAACACTCTACCCTCCCTGGTGACTTTTTCCATCTGTCCTCTGCAAGCAGAGATGGCCTCTACCTTAAGTAAGTTAGGGCCATTGTTGATTTATACTGTACTGCAGAGATGTCAGCAGTTTCACCATGAAACATAGTAAAAAACACACAGCAGCCCAATGCACAACATGCCCTTCAAAACAAGCTTTACAGAGAGGACTACGCTTATCCCTACTATACGTGATGCACTCTGATTTTTTTCTAGTCTATTTTTTTATTAAAAATTAAAATTTTCTAGTCTATTTAATTTTTTGAATTAAAAATTAATTCAAAATGGTTGCATCCTCAACAACTGATTTTATAACCCATGGATAGATTTCAACCACAGTTTAAAAAACACTGCTCTTCAGAAGAAAATCAAGCCTTTGGTTGAGGACATATCAGCAGGATTCAGAAGGCAGTACAGCTGCATCCTAGTGAGAATTTAAAGTCCCATCTCAGTCACAGCCAATCAAGAGCTCTAGCGGCACATGATAAGCGACTTCTTTTGGGATTTAAGGCACATGGGCAGATTCTGCACAGAAAGCTGGGGGGCCAGGTGAGCCCGTGGATTCAGCACCACCTTGAGTCCATAGAAAGACTGTGAAATAAATGTCCCTTTATTTCATAAGTAAATGTCCATGCTGACAGGTTCAATTTGTCAGCTTTCACTTCCTGGGAGTCACAATCACTTAGGATAGGCATGGGGAGTTCTTAAAAGTAGGAATCCACCCCAAGCCTGCTGAAAATCAAACCCTCAGAGGAAAACATGCATGCATATGAGTTTTGCATATGTGTTTTTCAAAAGATGTTCAGACAATTCTGATGCCGCCCATCCACCAATGAGCATTTGGGAACCACTTTACCACCAGACTTAGTTTAATTAAACCAAAGCAGGGACCCAGAAGCAATGCCACACACCTAACACTGCATTCACCCTGATCTCTGAGAGCTTCTTCTCCTTTGATGTTCAGAAGCACCTGGGGGCTCCTGTGGGCTCAGTGGTGATGATACATTCTATTTGATTTTGCTTCAGGCCTTGTGTGTCTGTAGCCACAGACTGGAGCACAGAGTGCTTACTGCTTGGCTTGAGTATTTAAGGCTCTGTAGGGGAGAAGAATTGTGCCTTACGGGAAGGCTAAGGACTTTTTCTAGGTCCCCTCTCTCCAGGACATCAACACAGGTCCAACACTGTTTCTGGGAAGGCCGGTGCCCTTGAAGGTGTTCCCTGCTTTGGAAGTGCCTAAACACACAGGAAACGTGCCCTCAGATATGGGGGCTGCACTTTGTTATAAGACAGTTCTCATCCTGTCCAGATACAAGAACATTCTAACATAATATCCCTGCAGTTCTTCCACAGTTGGTCCCCAGACCTTTGGAGGCAAATTGTCATCTGGGTGATGTCCTTAATCCTACAGCCATCATCAGGCTTCAGCTGCAAGCTGCAAACATATATTAATCACTCTCAGCAGCAAGTCCCTTTGAGAAATCTTCAGGTCTGAGGCTTCCATCTGCCAGCCATGGGTCATGACTTCCTCTCCAGGGGTCAGCAAACTTTATCTGTAAAGGGCAAGTAAATATTTTAGACTTTGCAGTCCATATGGTCTCGAGGCTGTTCAATTCTGCTGTTATAGCTTGAAAGCAGCCCTCGACGATATGTAAATGAATGACCGTGGCTGTTACCCGTGGTAATACAGGTGAAACTGGGTGCAGTGGCTCTGGCCTGTAATCCCAGCACTTTGGGAGGTCGAGGCAGGTGGATCATCTGAGGTCAGGAGTTCGAGACTAGCCTGGCCAACATGGTGAAACCCTATCTCTACTAAAAATACAAAAATTAAGCTGGGCACAGTAGCAGGCACCTGTAATCCCAGCACTTTGGGAGGCTGAGGTGGGTGGATCATTTGACGTCAGGAGTGTGAGACCAGCCTGGCCAACATGGTGAGACCCCATCTCCACTAAATATACAAAATTGGCTGGGCATGATGGTGCATGCCTGTAATCCCAGCTACTGGGGAGGCTGAAGTGGGAGGAATGCTTGAACCCGGGATCGAGGTGGCAGCAAGCTATGACAGTGCCACTGGGTAACAGAGCAAGATTCTGTCTAAAAAATATCCTCAAGTGTTACCCAGATCTAGTGAATCAGAAACTCTGGAGATGGGGCCAATAGTGTGGGTTTTCGAAGCCTTCCAGGTGATTCTTCTGCAAGCTCATGTTGCAAAACCCTGCTCTCAGCCTGGTGCCAAACCTGTCCGCTCCAGAGAGTTGCTGGTGTTAGCCATACCCCCGACAGGCCTCTTCCCCTTCCTCCCTTACAAATTTAAGTGTACCCTTAGTACTTAACTCACTCTTATATACCTAGAGATTTGCTGTTTGTTTTATGTTTCTATATTTTGTTTCCCAATTAGATAGAAACCCCTTGAAGCTAGAGTCCATGTGTGACTTCTTCCATCTCTACCCCACCACTGATCCATTTTAAGCATTCAATAAAGGCAAGGAAGGCCTTCACCTTTATTAACTTTTTTGAAAATTCCGTGCTTAACTATTTTCAGAATTTTCAGCCCACAATTCATTTTCCAAAAATATACATTAGGTGCCTATTCTGTGCCAGGCTCTGTTTTAAGTCACAAGTCCTGGCCTTCATGGAACATATATTCCAGTGGAGGAGACATAATAAGCATATAAATTATCAATAAACACTATGAAGAAAAACAAAGCAAGATAATACAATGGCGACTGGTGGGGTGACAGATTTTAAACAGCTTAGTCAGAACAAGGCCAAGAAGAAACCACTGCATTTTTAGGCTCTAAAAGAGAACATGCAGGCCTTGTGTGTACCCCTCTTTACAGCTGGAGCGTAACCATGCTGGTTTCAGTGTTAGGCAGGCTAGAACACCCTGTGCTGCAGGAACAAAAGCTCAGTGGCTGTGCACAGTAAGCGCTCACGACTCTCTCACTAATCACTAAGTCTAATGCAGGCTGCTGGGGGCTTCCCTCCACATATTGGCTCAGCATTCCAGGTTCTGCTGCCATCCCAACACTAGGTCACCTGTGCACAGAGAAATGCAGGGGATTACACCTCTCCCTTTTAGTGAGTCACTTTTTCAGCCACAAGAAATCTCCAGGTGTAGCTGAGCACAGTAGCTCACGCCTGTAATCCCAGCACTTTGGGAGGCCGAGGCAGGCAGATCACCTGAGGTCAGGAGCTCGAGACCCGCCTGGCCAACATGGTGAAACCCCGTCTCTACTAAAAATAAAAATACAACAATTAGCCAGGCGTGGTGGTGGGCACCTATAATCCCACTTAGGAGGCTGAGCCTGGAGAATTGTTTGAACCCGGGAGGCAGACGTTGCAGTCAGCCGATATCGCATCGCTGCACTCCAGCCTGGGCAACAAAAGTGAGATTCCATCTTTAAAAAGAAAAAGAAAAAAAGAAAAGAGAAATCTCCAGCTGTGTTTTGCCTCAGCCAGCCCCAGGGTCCAGCGTATGACACCTCTGATCCTCTCAGAAGCACACCCAGGGCAGGGGGGAATGATGCTGGGAGAACAGTAGAAATTTCTTCAGTTCCAAAACCTGTATTATTCCTTATAGGAAATGGCTTATTTTTCCTTGTTTTTCATCTGGCTATTACCATTTTGATAGCCTATCTTCAGGCGAGATAAGCCAGGGGTGTCAGGGACAGATCAGAAGAGAAAAAAGGTACATTTCTAGTGACAAGGCACAAATAGGCTTGTCAAGGAGTGAGAGGCACACACAGGAGGAAGGCTCTCAGTGACGTGAACGAGCCTGTCTTTGGAGGTCAGTAAGGCAGAAAGCCGGGTGGGCTGGGGCCCCACTCCTTCCTGGGTTCCCAGGCTGAGGCTCCTGAAGGCTTCAGGAGCACAGCGGCACCCCGTCGACCACAGCACCCTGCACGCTTGGCCCGGTCCCTTCATGCTGCCGCTTAGTGCACAACTGAATCTCCTCCTGAGGAAGTTGGTGGCTGCTGGAATACACAATGACATTCAATATGATGATGAACAAAAAGTGTCTGCAATTAGACATACCTCCGAAGCACTGGTGTTCGCCGTCTCTTAAAGGAGGAAGAAGAGGGGTTGGTGACATTGTTCCAAGCTCTGCATATGGGAACACTTGGGCTTTTTACACAGTAGGAAAATGTTTCATTTGTTCCCTGCCTATACAGCCCGAGCTCCTGTCTGTGTTTCTTTCTATTTTTCAGCAAGTGCTGCCAAAAGGCAAGGGAGGAGCAACCCTCCCTGTGAATCAGGGCCATTCACGGTCAGAGTCACCAAACCTGTATTTCAGGGGACATCTTTCCAGCTCCCAGTCTCCCAGCTTGGCTGGCTGCCCTGAAAAGGGACTGGGACTTGGCTCTTGGAAAGACGTGGATCTCTTTCAGGCTGAGTGAAACCCATTAAGAGTCACCCCCAGTTTCTAATACCAGGGCTGGCTACCTGAGTTCATCGTTTATTAGTGTTGGAAAAGGTTCCTGCAGCTTTCCCACCTGGCCAACCTCCCCTGGGGCTGAGAAGGGGGAAAGTCACTGATGTCATAACCCAGCTTGGTTTTGCTGCCAGTGGCAAGGGGGTGGGAGGAAGCCAGCAGGCAGCCTTCCCTGGGGCAGCGATGATGGCGTGGTGGTGGCAGCGGCAGGCGGCAGGAGGCCAAGGCCGGCCAACCGTGCAAAATAGGCTGCGAGCCTTCACAACAAAAAAGCCACCTTACAACATAACCCTAGGGTGCTGGGGCCTCTTTATGCCTTTGTCTATCTGTATATGTGTGTCTCTCTCTGTCTCTCCACTCCTCTGTGTGTCCTTCTGTCTCCATCTCTGTCTCTCTGTGTGTCTGCTTCTCTCTCTGTCTCTGTCTTTCTCTTACTAAGGAGCAGCTCCTGCCACTTTAGAGCCAACAAGACTACTTATTATTATTCTGTTTGAAATGCAGAATATGCCTGGGATCGGGGTATCCAACACCATCACCTGTTCAGGCTTCATGTACTGTGCTCGCAAGTGCCCCTCTGCAGGCCTGTGCTGGGCTGGATGAGCCCTCTCTCCCTCCCTCCCCCGGGCCCAGGCAGCCAGCCTACCCTCCCTGCAGAAGGCTGTCTCCCTTCCCCTCTCCCTGCATGCTCCCTACGGACCTCTTCCTGCAGCCAGGGAGCATCTGGGGCAAATGCAAACAGTTCTTTGGTCTGTTTATTTGCTTTTTGTAGTGCAAAGGTGGAGGAAGAGTGTGGTTAGTACAGCCCCCATGGCTGCGAGGGACGAAGTCAGTTCTGGGTACAGGAGTGCCAGAGCTTGCCAGCCCTGCAGGACGGCCCCCCAGCCGGGCTCCTGCCAGTCTCCATCTAGAAACCAGACAGAAAGCATTTTTGTAAATGTTAACCAAAAAGGTCCCCTGTGATGGCTGCACTGTAAATAAGTAGACAGTGTGGGGTGGGGGAAGCGCACATGCCTCTTTGGGGCCACCACAAAGCAGGGAGGGGGTGCTCCTTCAACTCTCAGGTCGGGGATAGAGCTCCCCACTAGCCTGCACTGCGGAAAAGTTTTTAGGGCCTGGAGTCACCCAGAACCCATCTCTGTCCAGGGGCGCTGTGTAAGATTCACCATTAATCCTACACATCTGGGAAGCAGTTCTCCTGCTAAAGATAAGATGAAGCCCAAGTGATTTGCATTTGGGGCTGGCTGGGGGATTGGGGGGAGCCAGGCCTGGAAGGCTGGGCGTACAGCAGCATCCTAACCAGCAAGAGGGGATGCAGCCTCCTCGGCAGACTCCCACAGTCCATCCCACTGCCAGGCGGATTGCCTAAGCACAGTGCACTGAGGTATGGCAGGGAATCCAGAAAATTATTTTGCTTTACAGAATGGAGGCTGTGTTATTTAAGTTTAAAATACACCGGGAGAGGAAGGTAAGCATAATCAGCTTTATCAGAGACAAGTAGGCAAGGGAGCTCTCCCCAGATTCCACCCTTTTGTTAAATCACTGAAGTTTCCAGAGTGTAGTTCTTCCTCCCTCCTGCAGCCTCCCACCTTCTTCCTCACTCTCCCCTCTCCCTCTCTGCCTTTCTCTGTGTCTGTGCCTCTCTAACCATAAAAATCTTCAACACAGCCATTGCTGGGAGCAAGGTACTGTTCCAAGAGCTTTTCAGATCACGTAACCCCCAAAACTCTACGGGGAAGGTTCTGCCTGCTTCTCTACATCACACTCTCTTTCTCTCCTGCTGCCTCTGTCTGTCTCATACACACACTCACCCCCCAACACACACACACACCCCTTAGGCCTTTCTGTATCACCTCCACACACACACTCACACTCATACACATATACACAGTCTAGTCCACACCGATAAGAGGCAGTTCACCTTCACAGGGAGGGACAGCCTCAGAGCCTGAAGAACGTCAGGCTTTGCACTCCTGCACTCAGGTGTTTTCCTGAGCTACCTGGGGCTGCAGCGGCTCTGAAGACCTCAGTGCTCAGATCTCCCTGAACTTGGTTGAAGATTGTGAACAGGAAAGCAAGCTCTACCTGCCAGGCTGTGTCCCCCGCTGGCTCTACCTGCCAGGCTGCCCAGCCTAGCATGGCCAAGGCTGGGTCTACCCTCTCTTCTGTCCTTGGCACTGCTCTGACCTTTGCAGGGAAGGAGAGGCAGCCAGAGGTGAGAGGGAAAACAAAAGAAGACTCTCGGTTCCCAGCATCAGCACGGATAGGGAACAGGGAAGCTGCGACCCTGGTCCCGGCCACAGCCCTCTCTGCACCTGGACAGCAGGCAAGACATTTAGCCTCCATGGGTTTTCATTTCCCTCCCAGGGAGATGGATTATCCCCATTTTTATTTCAGGAACAGAATCTCCTTTCCAACAAAATCAGAGAAGCCCAATGTGTAAAAATACAAAGCAGGAGCTGGCTCTGCTGAGCCCAGCCCACCCCTCCTCCTGGAGCAGACCTTTCCAGACTTGCTCACTGCATAAAGCCTACTGGGGCAGAGACTGCGCCATCCACGGCATCAGGGGGTGCAGTGCCAAGCACTGCTCCCTGTCCCCCAGGAACTTACTGCTGAGAGGAGGAAAGCAGGTGAGCCAATCAAGACAGTCCCCTAACAGTGACATAACTAATAAGGGGCCACATGCAAAGCATAGTGGATCAACTCAAGGAAAGGGGAGCTAAAACTGTCCATCTACTTCTAGGAATGCCCCCAAAAGAACTGAAAGAGAGACTTGGAGAGATCTTTGCACAGCTGTGTTCACAGCGGCCTTAACCACAACAGCCAAGGGCAGAGGCAACCCCTTTGTCCACCAACAGTAGAGGATGAACCAGGAAACTAAACGTGGCACATCCACACCGTGGAGCATGGTTCAGCATTGAAAAAGGAGGACATTCTGGCACATGCCACCATATGGATGAACCTGGAGAACATTATGCTTAAGCAAAATAAGCCACTCACAAAAAGACAAATGCTGTGCGATTCCACTTCTGTGAGATACCTAGCTGGAGTAGTCCCATTTACAGAGATAGAGAGGAAACAGCGGCTGCCAGCAGCTCAGGGGAGGAAGGAATGGGGAGTTGGTGTTTCATGGGTACAGAGTTTTGGTTTGGGATTACAAGAACATTCTGGAAATGGTGACAATGATGGTTGCAAACAATCCATATATTTAATGCTTCCAAATGGCACAGTTGAACATGGCTAAGATGTTAAATTTATGTGTATTTTACCACAGTTAAAAATGATAATTTAAAAAATTGTTGAGTATGTGTCCAAAAAGTGGCCAGGGTTTGGCAAGGGGTGAGGGGGACAAGGACAAAAAACACTGCGCAGACCACGATGTTAGGGCCCGAGGCCTGCCTCCACCCACCGTGGGAGGCCGAAGGCCTCTGCACATGTTCTTCTTTTCACCTACGCTTTTCCCCTCAGTATTTCCATGACTCAAATTCACTCAGCTCTTTCTTCAAATGTCACTCCTCAAAAAGCCCTCACTAACACCACTAACTACAATAAAGCATATACGTGCACACACACACACACACACACACACTCTGCTCACCACGTGCCATAGCAGATTTCTGCACAGTACTAACCACCATCTCCTATGCTGGTATATATATCTTTATTTCCTTCTTTTTCTGTTTCCCCAAGTAGAATATAAGCTTCAGGAGGACAGGGCCTCGGTTTTGTTCACTCTTTTCTCCCCTATGCTTGAAAGATTGTAAATGCTGAAATGAATTTGAAGGATAAGTAAACAAGGAAATGAGGGTGTCTGCCCAGCTTGCCAGGGCTCCCCTTTCAAATTTGAGCCCAATGCCCCCACCTGGCCATATGCTCACCTACTCAGGCTTACCTTTTTTGCATTTTTCTCTCTCAGGAACCTTGCAGGGACATGATGGCAGCATTTGGGAATTTGATTCAGAATCACAACTATATAATATCTATGATCATCTATCCTTTTAGCCTTACGGCTTAGATACCAAGAGAATGGCAGGGAGAGAATTAAGAGGGGAGATTCCATTTTAGAGAACATACATAGCTCAGTTTTTAAAATAGAATCATACAGTTTTTGAGGTGGACGAGATCACAGACTTAGGCAGAGTTTGAAGCATTGAGAGAATACCCAACTGCAAGTGGGTCGCAGAGCCCTGGCAATGCAGATGGGCCTGTGTTGTGCATTCAGTCTAGCCCTGCACATAACCAGGACACTGAGAAATGTATTTGCTATAGAGAAGCTGCTGGTGCCAACAAGGACACAGGGAAGAGCTCCAGGAAGCCTGAGGGAAGCTCACCAGATTAGATTCCGCATCAGGCTCACCCTGAACCCTCATGGACATGGCTGGCTCTCAGGGCCTGTGGTTCCTAGATACTAATGCTTATGAACCCAATGCTTAAAATTGCTCATGGACATCAGGAACTCCAGGGCCAGGCACAGTGGCTCACGCCTGTAATCCCAGCAATTTGGGAGGCCGAGGCAGGTGGATCACCTGAGGTCAGGAGTTCGAGACCAGCCTAGCTAACATGGTGAAACCCCCATCTCTACTAAAAATACAAAAATTAGCCAGGTGTGGTGACAGGCACCTGTAATCTCAGCTACTCAGGAGGCTGAGGCAGGAGAATCCCTTGAACCTGGGAGGTGGAGGTTGCAGTGAGCAGAGATCTTACCATTGTACTCCAGCCTAGGCAATAGAGCGAGACCCTGTCCTCCAAAAACACAAAAACAAAAACCCTCCAATCTCCCCATCTCCCGCTCCCAAATTAGGTTAAACCTATAACAAAGCCAACTCTGAGTAAGAGTTTTATGAAAAACTGAAGATAAAATGGCAATTTCCTTTGTTATATTTTTTTCTTTTTTTTAAGACAGAGTCTCGCTCTGTTGCCCAGGCTAGACTGCAGTGGCGTAATTTTGGTTCACTGCAGCCTCCTCCTCCCAAGTTCAAGCAATTCTCCTGCTTCAGCCTCCCAAGTAGCTGGGACTACAAGAGTGTGCCACCACACTTGGCTAATTTTTTGTCTTTTTGGTAGAGATGGGGTTTTGCCATGTTGGCCAGGTGGGTCTTGAACTCCTGACCTCAAGTGATCTGCCTGTCTCGGCCTCCCAAAGTGCTGGGACTACAGCCATGAGCCACCTCACCTGGCCTCCTTTGCTTTTTCAAGGCAGTAAAGTCAACTCCCACTAAATGCATCGTCACTGCAACATTTCTGCATCCTCATTCATTGTGCCTTCAGATTCTACTTCCAGAATCACAGACTCTCCAACCTGGAGGGAAAGCTAAAGGTCACTAGGCTTGTGCTTCCTAACCTGTGGGTTGCAGTCATTTCTCGGGCCATGAAATCAATGCAGCCGACCCTAATGAGAATTTCATTTGAAAATTGAAATAGAGCAGAATTAAATAGAAAAGATCACAGAGCACTGCACATAGAAGCATCTTCATGAAACTTCTTGTTCAGTTATATATAAATGTGATGTGTTTACTGCATTGCAATATGAAATGTTTCTTACCATGAGACCTGGTCAAAAAAATTTTGAAGGCTACTCCTCTGATCCATTTTCCATATAGGTCTCAATACTTCTATATCCAGCTGATGTTTAATCATTCCATAATCCGTGAGCTTATTCAGTGTCTATGGTGTGGAAGGCACTGAGCTGGATCCTGGGGCAACAAACATGAACAGGACACTGTGAGTCAAAGTCCATGCAGGGATCAGGGTGTTGGGGGGAACACCCCAATTGGTAGTAGGAGGAGAGTTTAATAAAGGAGCTGTCTATTCAGTGTGGGTAGAGTATAGGCAACCCTAAGGAGATAGAGCAGGCTTTCAGGGCCATGAAGAGCAGAACAAGGCGGGAAGGGCTGAGGGAGGGGAGCTGCTTCCAGCACCTGAAGCTATGTGGGGAGGACTTCCTGACAGAGGGTCTGTAGCCTTCAGTCAGGAGGCCATGAGCTCACAGGAACCCTGTAGGGAAGCAGCCAGAGAGACCAAGAACTCTGCTCTCATCTCCTGCTGATAATGAGCCACATTGGCCAAATGCCCCCAGAACCCAGAGGGCACAGGACATCAGGGTGCCATCCATATGGGAGAGCAGTGGGGAGAGGGTGGAGGATGGCTATGGATGGCAGACAGAAGATGATCCCTACAGACAAAATTGTTGCCTGCTGAGAACTCGTATTGGATGGATGAAAAGGTTCATCATCAAAAATAAAATGTTCTAGTGATTCATAACAAAAAAAAAAAAAAAAACCACAGTGGTGCCATAACTCATGCTGGAAGACAGGTATTCATGAGGACTTCCAGAAGTTCCCAGGAGGATGAGCTTCACTCTTGGGGAAGGCCAGAAGAGGTTAGGGAGGGCTTGCAAGAAAGAAGTCATCGTGGTCTGTCTTCAAGCGTCCTTTCCTTCGAAGAACCACCTTCCCTCCCTCTACGTAGTAGTAGGATTTCAGAGCAGTGCCGTCCTTCTCTGGTGCAGGGTAGCAAATCAGAGTATGCTCCTATTCCCGGGCCACAGCCCCTCAGGGACTTCCCTGGGGATCTTCCACTAGTGACAAAAACTGTGTCTTGCCTCTGAATTCAGGAGACTGAGAGGCTGTACAGTTAGAACTATTCTGCCATCTCCTCCCTATCCCAATAAGCATGTATATTCAACTTAGGAAGAAACTGGGGTGGGGCAGAAATTTTACCGGGACATATTTTTCATTGAGGGTTACCTTCTATTTGGGCATATACTACTATATTCATTTCGGTCATTTCTCTTTTTGTCTGAGTTTGAGTTTCTGTCCTTGAGGTCTCGAAGTTGAATTTCTGTCCTGGAGATGAGAAGGCATTTGGCCTGGTGAGGAACCTGCTGGGCCTGTGGCCTGGCCAGAACCTGGGGTGCCTGGGAATGGGGACCTAGGAGGAGGCCGTCACCGTGGGTTAGATCATGAAAGGCTTGGGTCAGACGGGGAATGCATGAGTGTTCTAAGGATTTTAATAGGGAGGGCCACAAACAGAGGTGCATCTTGGAAAGCTCCCCCTGAGAGCTGTGTGGGAGATGGGTGGAGATGAGTTGGCCCAGAGGAAGCCTCGGGAGATGCAGCAGGTGTTAGAACTCAGGGGGGAACGCTGGGGAATGGAGAATGGTGCCTGGATCCCAGAGAGGCTGAGTAAAGTACAAGAATCTAAAATTAGTAAGAAGGTTCTGGTTTGGGTGGAAAGGTGGATGGTGGCATGAATGGAATCTTGCTTCCTTTTTTTCCCCACATCTCATAA